GTGACCTCATAACTTGAAAAAACTACAGTTTACCCAGAAATAAACATTGTCATTATTTTCTTACCCTCATTTCATTCCAAACATTTTTCTTCTTCTATGAAACACAAAAGATGTGTTCCACAAAAGAAAGTCATAAAGGTTTTTGAGAACACGAGTGTAAGTGAATGATGAGATTTTTCATTTATCCCTTTAACAATACAAAACAAGTGTTTTACTTATAATGGCTTCAAAATATGAGATGTTTATGAGTTAGTGGGAAAGCCGTAAAGTTGTGTGCTTTATGATAAAGATTTATCTAAAAAAAAAAGTAGTCCTTCAGCTTACAATAGTCTATTCCTGATGTCTTAAACTCAAGGGAAATGTAGGGTAGGACAGACTGTTTTCAAGATGAGGTGAAGTGCTATGTGGTCAATAGTACTGGGGATTTCCACAGTTATTTAAGAGAAACGGCCTACAAAAAAACAACAGATCGAAACTGAACTTAGATTAACTACATTTTTGAGACAGTGCTGAATTAATTTCATCATCATCAAGGTATTTACATAAGCCAATATTGAAACACACTTCCACCCAACCACATAATTCAGTGACACTAAAAAGAACTAGATTGAAAAGTTTGTAGACAAACTTTAAGTTGGCTTGAAAAAGCCTAGCTAGAAAGTTTTAAAAGCTTGCAGTCTGAAAGTTTTCAGTTTGAAGTAGTTTTTGAATTTTGACAGTTAAAATAGTTTTAAAGATTAAAGTTTGAATGTTTTCAAGGCAATACAGTCTATCAGAAAAACAGATGTAAACAGAACAGGTATAAAACTTATTGGTAGGTTACCAGAGGTGGTTGCTAGGCTGTTTCTAGCATGTTGCTAACATGTTTTTTTTATCATGATTAGCATTGTTTCTAGCATGTTGCTAGCATGATTATCAAGTTACTAGCATGTTGTTACCATAATTAGCAAGTACTAACATGTTGCTAGCATTATTCTAGCATGATTAACGTTACTAGCATGGTGTTAGCATTTTGTTTGCATACTAGCATGTTTACTAGCATGTTTGTAGCATGATTAGCATGTTACCAGCATGTTGTTAACATAATTAGCAAAGTTACTAACATGTTGCTAGCATGATTAGCATGTTACTAACATGGTATTAGCATTGTGTTAACATGATTAGCAAGTTACTAGCATGTTTCTAACATGATTAGCATGTTACTAGCATGTTGTTAGCATGATTAGCATTTTGCTAGCATGTTGGTGTTAGCATTTTGTTAACATGATTAGCCAGTTAGTGGCATGTTTCTAGCATGATTAGCATATTACTAGCATGTTGTTAGCATTATTAGCAAGTTATTAGCATGTTGTTAACATGATTGGCAAGTTACTAGCATGTTGCTAGCATTATTCTAGCATGATTAGCATCAGTTACAAAATATTATTACTTGCCTATAAGGCCCTTAATGGGTTAGCTCCTGCGTACCTAACTAGTCTTCTACCACGCTACAATCCATCACGCTCCCTAAGGTCGCAAAACTCTGGACTTTTGGTAGTACCTAGGATAGCAAAGTCCACTAAAGGAGGTAGAGCTTTTTCGCATTTGGCTCCCAAACTCTGGAATAGCCTTCCTGATAACGTTCGGGGTTCAGACACACTCTCCCTGTTTAAATCTAGATTAAAGACACATCTCTTTGGCCAAGCATTCAAATAATGCATCTCATAATCTTTTACTGCAGATTTCCACAGTTATTTAAGAGAAACGGCCTACAAAAAAACAACAGATCGAAACTGAACTTAGATTAACTACATTTTTGAGACAGTGCTGAATTAATTTCATCATCATCAAGGTATTTACATAAGCCAATATTGAAACACACTTCCACCCAACCACATAATTCAGTGACACTAAAAAGAACTAGATTGAAAAGTTTGTAGACAAACTTTAAGTTGGCTTGAAAAAGCCTAGCTAGAAAGTTTTAAAAGCTTGCAGTCTGAAAGTTTTCAGTTTGAAGTAGTTTTTGAATTTTGACAGTTAAAATAGTTTTAAAGATTAAAGTTTGAATGTTTTCAAGGCAATACAGTCTATCAGAAAAACAGATGTAAACAGAACAGGTATAAAACTTATTGGTAGGTTACCAGAGGTGGTTGCTAGGCTGTTTCTAGCATGTTGCTAACATGTTTTTTTTATCATGATTAGCATTGTTTCTAGCATGTTGCTAGCATGATTATCAAGTTACTAGCATGTTGTTACCATAATTAGCAAGTACTAACATGTTGCTAGCATTATTCTAGCATGATTAACGTTACTAGCATGGTGTTAGCATTTTGTTTGCATACTAGCATGTTTACTAGCATGTTTGTAGCATGATTAGCATGTTACCAGCATGTTGTTAACATAATTAGCAAAGTTACTAACATGTTGCTAGCATGATTAGCATGTTACTAACATGGTATTAGCATTGTGTTAACATGATTAGCAAGTTACTAGCATGTTTCTAACATGATTAGCATGTTACTAGCATGTTGTTAGCATGATTAGCATTTTGCTAGCATGTTGGTGTTAGCATTTTGTTAACATGATTAGCCAGTTAGTGGCATGTTTCTAGCATGATTAGCATATTACTAGCATGTTGTTAGCATTATTAGCAAGTTATTAGCATGTTGTTAACATGATTGGCAAGTTACTAGCATGTTGCTAGCATTATTCTAGCATGATTAGCATCAGTTACAAAATATTATTACTTGCCTATAAGGCCCTTAATGGGTTAGCTCCTGCGTACCTAACTAGTCTTCTACCACGCTACAATCCGTGAATAGCGCTATACAAATAAACTTGAATTGAAAAAACTTTAAAATGACCAGCATGATTCTACCATGATTACCATGTTACTAGCATGATGCTAGTATGTTTCAACTGTTAATAATTTTCAAACATAAACCAGGCAGGGTTAACCTTAAAGTAATACTCAATAGTCAACACTGACTCCTGTCAGTTTCTAAATCCTTCATCACTTGAATTAAGATTATAGTATTTAAATTTTAAAGGAGACATTGGGTGCAAAATGCACAACCACCCTACAATGATAAAAACCCATTCACTCCTTTTTTTTTAATCCCCAAAAAATCTAAACCGTCTCAATCAAGCCGTTTTGATTTTCTGAGCAGTATGATGTCATATTTGCTCAGGCCCGCCCACAACCGCTGAAGTACTGTCCAGTATTAGCATAGTTTCGCCCTCAGCCAGTTGTACGAAGTCCATCATTCTCTCTCCGTGCTCTAGCAGCTGTAGCGACAATGTCTTGTAAGCAATGCAGGTGTTTTGCAGTTTTGTGATGTAGAAGAACATGAGTGTTAATTTTCTCCTGACATCAGAGACACTACGGACGCAGCGCATTAGTTTTGTTTTTTGATGGTAATGCACCACCGAATACACCTAACGTTAAATTAATTTATGTCTGTGCAATTCATTTTACTCCAGACTGCTTTCTGAATGAGGGACAATTCGAGGCAAGTTTTGTTAAAAAGTTCAAACTCAAGGCTAGATCAGTACCCATTGTTTGTGATCCAGCTGCACTTTATATTTTTTCTTCCACGGAAGAGAGGGGCGGGGTGAGCAGAGCTCATTAGCATAAATCAAATCTTTGCATATCTATGCTAGGAAACACTGTCTGGAAAAAACAGTGGTAGAGCATTGCGTTAGCTGTGCAAAAGTTCGTGGGTTTGATTCCCAGGGAACACACATACTGGTAAAAAATGTATAGCCTGAATGCACTGTAAGTCGCTATGGATAAAAGCATCTGCTAAATGCATAAATTATTAAATTATTGTTATAAATTATAAACCCATATAGGAAATAAAAGTTATCGAATAAGCATGTTCTAAACTCCTGAAGCATTGGTGTTTCATATTTTAGAGCAGTCACTCACTGCAATTCATGAAAGAAATCAATTAAATCTGTATGTGGGAGTGTGTGAGAACAAATCAGATGTAACCCCCTTTGTAATCCTTAACGTTTTCATAAGTAACTAATTTAATTACATATTTTTTCTCAGTAACTGTAACTGATTACAATTACTTTTTTGTAATTAAATTACATAATTCTGTTACATGTAACTAGTTACTTCCCAACACTGGTGGTTGGAGACTCCTTCACCGGCTACAGGCTCCTCATTTGCGCACGCACGTGTGCGTGTGTGTGTGTGTGTGAAATACAGTGCTGAATGAAAAAGCGGGGCAATTTGATAATAATAGCCAAATTATAATGGGCCGCCTAATAATAATAATAATAATTATTATTACATTAATAGGAGAATGAGCCTAATATTGTCTTGACTATCGACAAAGACGGTATCTTTGCTATCGTCGGTATCTCTGACTATCGTCGATACACGATACTATCGTCTATCGGCACAATCCTAGTTTCTAGCATGATTAGCATGTTACTAGCATGTTGTTAGCATGATTAGCAAGTTACTAGCATGATGTTAACATGTTTCTATGCTAATCCAGCTAAAACCAGTTGATTCTGTGAAAAAACGGCTAAAAACCTGTTAAAGACCAGCCTGACCTGCTAAAAAAAGTGGCCAAAACCACTTTAAAACCAGCTTGGGAGACCAGCCAAAGCAGTCAATCAGCTTAGGCTGGTTTGAGCAGTTTTTTCAGTAGGGAATTGTTAGGCTTTGCTATAGCAATAGACAGCTTAAATACACCACAAGTCTTACTGTATAAAAGTTTTCACCCCCTCAATGAAAGTCTATGGGATTTTAGGTGGGTTTGATAGTCTGGTTTACGAAAACCATAAGCCGGATCAGTTAGAAAAGATATAGCAACCCGAGTCAGACCAGTCTGAAAGTCTGACCCGAGTTTGGTGGTTGTAGCTTTAAAAGGCTAGGAGGAGATACATTTTAAAATTTGGTCTCAGATTTTTTTCAGAAAATTTGGTATTTTTCAAGCCAACTTAATAATACAGACCAAAGAAAAATATAAATAAAAAGATGACAAGTCAAAAGATTTTTTCTACACAGCTATTTATTTAGGATTTTAACAAGCTCTTTTAAACAGATTATTAATAATATTCATATTTTTAAGTGCAGTTTTGTGAAATTCAGTTGGTTGGCTAAAAACATCACATTTGCAATTTAAAATCTTATGAAAATATTATTTTCCTGTTCTTTGAATTAGGGAAAAGGTGCATTCATCAATGTTAATACAAGTTATAGACAGCACTGAGTGGGAGGTCTGTTACAGAACATGGAAATACAATCTTCTAGTCTGTTCCTATATTGTTAGTTAGTTTTAATTTTAAAAGAATTAAAAGATTTAATTTTAGTTGTGACATATAGTGGTATTATAATGTTGGCACAGCTGTTGTCGATGTCTTCAAATGCATAAAAAAAAAACTTTCAGACACATCCCACTGTAATAATGAAATAAATGGCATACCCTGTTGCAAAGGGAGGTCTAACAGCTGAAGAATGACACAGAAAATGACTTGCGTGTGACAGTAATACAGTCACATCGTAACACTATGATGCCAAGCGTTGTGTGCTATGTAGCTTTAATCCAAAAGGCTCCAAAGTGTTAGTGGTGAATCTTATCTTCACACCCTAACATTCTGCATGAGACTGAAATGAATAGCTATTTGCCATGGTGGTAAAACCTCTGCCCTGACTGGCTGTGAGAAAGGTAGGTGTGGCGAGGGGTTGGTTGAGAAGAGTTTTGAAATGTAGCCTGTAAAACAAAAGGAGAAAAAAAAAATGAATGTCACTTTCCTTATACAGATCTTGATCAGATACTGCATTTATTTCATAAGGAAATGTACATACATGCTATAAATAAAACGGTATTCTTGGTTTGGACAGAACTCACCGCATGTGCTTGTTGTGAGGGCGTTCCATGCGTGAATGCGCCTGGGGAAGCTGGCCTTGGTGGATGTGCATATGGTAAGCCAGACTGTCCAAAGAAAAAAAGCAAGACATCTATGCCCAAAACATAACAAGTAATCCTACTTTTTAAGGCTAAAAATCAATTAATTGCAAATAATGCAGCAGGAAGACTAAGTTAATATAGATTTCATTAATTGGCTTGGCTCTGACCTTGCCAGGAGGGATCTGGACAGCAATAGAAGCAGTAGGCAGCAAACCTGCACCACTGACATGCAGAGCCTGTGGATGCATGGGCCTCAATGAACTCTGAAATCACAAATATGAGTAATGTTTACAGACATAGGGATTCAGTGACACTCTGCACTCAGCTGTCCATCCTTTGGTCCCAGTTTATCAGAGTTTACATCCTGACCAGCCCTACTTACTGAGTCTGTGAAGCCGGACTGCTGGTTAGCATGTTCCAACTGTTTCTGCAGGGGAATCCCAGCGCTGGGGATATAACCTGGAATGAAAGTAGTAATACAGAAGGATTGTGAAGGTGTCTGCCAAAAAGACGACGGAGAAAACATTTATGGGGGACAGGCCCGGTTAAAAACCTTACTGAGCTGCCTTGCTGTCTACTGTCTACATACACTACAGTTCAAATTATTGGGTTCAGTGAGATTTTTTTTTTTTTTAAGGAAATTAATACTTCTATTCAGCAAGGATGCATTTTATTAATTAAAAGTGACAGCAAAAACATGTATAATGTTACAAAAGTTTTCTATTACAAATAAATGTTCTTTTGACTTCTTATTCAGCAACGAATCCTGAAAAAAAAAAATATCACGGTTTCCACAAAAATATTAACGCTTAATGTTTATTTAGCAATTAGCATAGCATTAATGTTTCTTGAGCACCAAATCAGAGTATTACAATGATTTCTGAAGGATCATGTGACACTTATGACTGGAGTATTGACTGCTGAAAATTCAGCTTTGGTGTCAGGAATAAATGACATTTTAAAATATATTCAAATAGAAAACAGTTTTTTTATTTTAGAAATATTACTGTTTTTACTGTATTTCTGATCAAATAAATGCAGCCTTGGTGAGTGTAAGAGACTTCTTTTAAAATATTAAAACCAAACCGATCCCAAACTTTTGAATTTGTTCCAAGGTAGCATCCTAAATAAAATTGCCCCTTAGGTGCGACTGGTTTAAAAAAAAAAAAAAAAACATTGGCCATTTATCGCCACACATATTTAATTAAATATACTACTTCATGATAAAAGTATGCAACATGAACTCATCCAAACACAGACCAGAGGGGAACCGTCAGGGTCCTCTAAGGCCCTCAGAGAGAGCCTAAACTATTGTAAAAGCAATATTTACCATTTTTAAATATATTTTTTTAAATGACAATTTTTAAATATTATTTTTAATAATCATTTCTATTTTTAAGTATCACCATCTAAATAAAATAAATACAATTTCTGTGGAAATAAACTCTCCAAATCTGCCTATTCAGTGAATGTGTTACATGAACGATGCCCATTTTCTCATTAGAATGTTTCCGCCTAGAGTTTGCGGTTCTGTGATTGGTGGTCCAGCTATGATATCAGTGGCGTAGCAAGTCAGCCCCGGGCCCATAAGCAAAAACATTTGTACGGGCCCCCCCAAACGTTATAGGTTAATGTAGGCTTCAACACTCCTTTATTGTTGTCTTCTCTGAGGTAAATAACATTACATGACTATTCACAAGCGCTTTTATTGACGGTAGCCTAAAAATGCTGGGAAATTATTTTGAACGTTTTCAAGTCTATTTTTATTTGTAGCGCACCAGCCATCCAATAATCTCAACAAACATGTTTTGTTATTTTAATATAACACAAATCATAGTGTAAAAGAATTTAATGGAAGTGCGATCCATTGCAGTCTACATGAAGCACAGACTTTTTAAGAGCCAAAGAAAGACAGACGTTTCGCTGAAAGGATGAAGTCATTATGTACATTAACAATAATTTGGGACAAATATAATGCAATTTAATGGAAAACATGTGAGTGGTGCTCTGTGGTGCGGCAGGATTTTGAACAGCACCCAGAGTCGCAGCTGAGTCGCCGGTGGCACTACTGGTGTGCGTACACTCATACAAAACAATGTGTTCGAATTTTAAAAACGTGGTGCGGTGCGTCCAGTTTGTGACCTGATTAAGGCTGGATTAGCCTCTTGTTTCAAAGGTGGAATTGTCAAAGATGACTTTTAGAAGAAGACACCGTAAGCTAGGCTGGTAGTTAGTTTTTTCCCCGACGAGGGTAGGGGAGAGGGCCTAGGTTCAAGAGTCACGGGTTACTACTGACACAGACACGTTACACACACCTGGCTGAGAGGTGAAGTGACTGTGGACCGCATAACCCTGCTGCTGATGGGGCAAGTACTGCATGGCCTGGAATGCTGATGCACCTGGAAACAGAAAAACAGAACATCACAACAACACATCACAAATGTACACCCTGTTCAAGAACACAACAAGAAAATGAACGTAAGAACCTTTTGAGTCTTACAAGCGAATAATAACACACATCCACATCTAATCATAAGAACTGAGGGAAAATACAAACAAGGTACCTCTAAGTTGTGAACCACTGGCATAATTGGCTGGCACCGGCTGACTGGAGGCAAAAGGTGATGTATGCTGCGGCTGGCTGACTCCATACGGGCTATGACTCGCCTGGGCTCCAGAGTACTGGCCATGCTCGGTTCCACCTGCACTGAATCCTGGCTGAGACTGGAAATGACGTGTCTGAGAAGGTGGCAAGCAACCAATCATTTTTTAATGATCAAGCACACACACCAAAAAAATCAAATCTGTGAGTGGTAGCTGAACTGGGTGTCCCTCCTTATTAAAAAAAATTGGTTTTGTTTGTTTCAGGTACAAACAAATTGATTTACATTAAAATATCACACTCACAGAAATGACTGGCGACTGGAAGAGCTGTTTACTCCGTTCCCCAAGAAGAGCACCTGAACGCCCATGACTAACCTGACCCGCTGTGTGAAAACAAGTGGTGATGCAAAATGAAGTCATTATTGAAGGGCAATTCTAGTAGAGTCTAAATGACAGTTACAGCTTTATACTTCTTTGACAGATTACTGAAGATGTCAAATAGTGGTCACCTTGCATGCTGAGAAGGTGCGGTCCACTGTGGATGGACATGTTTGGCTGGTATGTTGCCGAAGTCAGAGTTGTCATGTCACTGTAAACATATTAAACATAATAAACTGATTAGCAAACATGTAATTTTCAAAAATCTGACAGCTTTGGATAATAAATGCTAAAAAAGTGGGCGTGGTGCGGAGCGGAGGAGAGGAGAGGGAAGAGGGGAGACGGACAACACACACAGCTTCACGTTCAGAAAGTTTCATTTCGCTCCCATCGAGTTAAAAATATAAATAAAGGCACAGCCATTTGCACTCTGCATCGAAAACATATATATGAACGCGTTGTTGCACCTCTGAGAACTTTTAGGGCTTATTCTCTGGCGTTTATATAAGCCTTTTGACGGGTTGTGTCAGAGCTGTAAAAACGGTTATGCTCACCAAGTGAATGAATCGCGTTTGTGCCGAACTCAAATTACGAAGCAAAAACAAACACTCTTCTTCGATCCATGAACGTTTCTCTCAGTTAATGTGCGCGATGTCATCTCACAGTCTGAAACATCTGTCATAGCATATCAACACATGCTGTTGGGAATAATTAAGTGAAGCGTCTTCTCATTGGATAAGAACACGCAGTCTCATGAATAATTTAATAGACACCAACACGTCATCGATGAACTATAGTTCATTGCCACGTCATTAACACGATGTAGATTTTAAACCCGGAAGATGAAAATAGCGCAAAAAAAGCTTAAAATTAACCAGTTTTCTCCAACAGTTAAAATTATCGGATGCTAACATTCTCTTCTATGATGAGCAACACAAACACCTCTGCTAAAATCTCAGAAAAAGTAGTCTGGGGTTTCATGACCCTTTAAAGTAAAAAAACTTACTGACCCCGAACCTTTGAATAGTGGTGTGATGTGTGTGTGTGTGTGTGTGTGTATATATATATATATATATATGTATGCACATTTTTTTAAATTAAAGTCATGTGTGAAGGATTTAAGGATTCTTTGTTGCAACCTGTGTGTCTGTGTGTTGCTTTAAGAGAGCAATCATACACGTTTATTTATTTTATATAAATTTATTCATTAATTTATAATCATTTATAATAATAATTTTAAACATTTATGTACTAATTTCTTTGATTCATTCATTGATCAAATTATTATTACATTTTATGTTATTTTTCCATTGTTTAGTCTAATGATTGTGTGGTTTGCAGGGATATTTGTCTTCTCGAGTGAGAGATAAGATAAGTCTCTCTATTTTAAAGTTTTTAACACCACAAGACAATGTTGTGAAGCAGTAATTTTCCATTGCTATCATTTGTGGTATAATAACACTAGTTGGATTAGAGTTGGTCATACAAAGTCTACGCACATACACAACTAAGATGAGTCAATAAACTCATTTTTTATCATCATAACTTTGTTTCCTCTTCTCTGGCTTTCTTAGGATGCTTTCACGCTTGGTTCGATTGCCTGGTCCGAACCTGTGTTTGGTTGATCCCCCCCTCCCACTGCCACCGCTGGTTTGTGTTCATACTGTATTTTTTGGTTCTGAACCACGGTACATTTGAGTCACTGAGAAAATTCTGATTCCTTTCCAAAGCACCCACATAGATCGGCACATGTGTCTATTTGACATGACTGTAATGCAAAGGTTCAAAAGAAAGCGGGAGTCAATTTCTGCGAGCAGAAATTAGATCTAAATACTTTCTGCTGCAGTGCGTCAGTCATACTTTTCAAGAAAAAGAGTGAGTAAACGCATAAATACACCATTTGACCAACTCATACGTCATTAATAGCAGTTCACCTCCGTGATTTAGTACAATGCATTCACATCAGAAGCCAACCGTACCGGAGTTCGCATGAACTGCACCCCAGACCACCCATTTTAGGAAAACGGCGGCGTTCACGTCATCCAAACGAACCGAACTCTGATGTCAAATGAACTCGGGTGCGCATTAAAAGTGTTAGTGTGAAAGCACCCTTATTCAGCCTCTTGGCTGGTAGAAGACTGTTAATACAGTTTTGAGTATCAGACAAAACACTGGGTTTGTCAAAAGAGCAGGTTTTGACGCTGCAAAGAAAACAATAACTGCACTTTGGTGGGACACTAAGGCAGACATCTCAAGACTGTGGTTATTGAATAAGCAACATACAGTTAATATGGAATGCTCTTTAGCTAGATTTAATAAAGCTAAATTAAGAACAGTACAGGCCTGGTAAGAGTTATAAAATCTATTTAATGAACGGTTCATTGGGTAGTAAGATATATCTCCATAGAACTGTGAAGAACTTATATCTAGCATGTGGTGTCTGGGGATGGATATACTATTTATGGTGTGGAGACCTAATTTTTCCATTTGACATCAGGCTTTGCCAGATCTCTTTTCCATACCTCTGTTCTTTCCGACGTCTTTTCTCCTCCTCATGTAGGACTTTCTTCAGCTGCAGAAAAAGCTGGTGCTTCTCCTCTTGAAGACCCTGCAGCTTCACTCCCATCTTCATAATCTAATGAGAGAGAAAGAAAGAAATAAAGGGCTGGTCAGGAGTCCTGAGACATAATTCCTACATCACTTGTAAATAATCCAACTATTAGAATGCAGCAATTACACAGATGCACCTGCTCTTTTGTTTCCTCTAAGGACATTCTCTCTTCCATCTCTTTCTTCCTCTTCCTCTCTTCCTCTTCTTTTAGTTTCTGCTCCATCATTTTGTCAACCTCTTCCTCCTCTGAGAAAAACAATTGATAACTGATCACAAAGTGCACATGATCAACAATCATCAGCACCGGAGAGCAACATGAACATGGAAATTATTTTATTTCCTGTAGTAAAAATAATATACAGCGGATTCCTGGACTCACCTTGCCTCTTCCGCTCCCTCTCTCTCATAATGTGCTTATGCAAGGCACGTGCCATGGCATTAGACAGTTTGGGCCTCTCCAGAAGAGCCGGCATGATGGTAGGAATTGGTGGTGCCAGCTGGAGTCGAGATATGAGGAAAATATGTTACAACATAAAAATCAGCATCTTCATTTTTAGTCACTAATGAGTCCACTAAGATTGAATTCAGATTCTAGTGGCCTTTTACCACAACTAACGTTAGAATAGTCAGGGTGAGAAACAGTTCAAGAACTGATAGTCTAGAAATTATTTAACCTTGTTAAATGACAACGTTAAAAACATAACGGAACCAATAAAATTCTTAGTATTGCTGTACAGCACAATTTAGACATTTGACAGATTCAGAATGACACATCACAAACACAAACTAAAGCTGCAGTCAAAAAGTTGACAAGCCTTGCTAACGTTGTTTAAACCAACTTACCATATCAACTCTAAAAACCAAAGACTACGAGTTAGAGCAAAATATAATTTAGGAGAAAGAGATGTGGCAATCTGAGAAGCAATACAAGGCAGTAAATGAGCAAACTCCCTGCACTGGGTTAGCTCTATGAGGACTTCACAAGCTAGCTGGCTATGCTTGCAGTAACCGGAATGTTTCGACAGTCGATTCAGTTAATCTGTCCAATAAAAATCATCTTTCATACGCATGATTTAATAAGCCAAAGTGATTTCAGTATTTTCTATCTGCAGTAAGTTGCATTAACACCCGACCATTAGGCTAGCAGGCTAACGGCTCAAGTGACAGCTTAGTCAGCTAGCTTGCAAAATCAGCGAACTAAATAAAACTCTTGCAGTGACATTCATGGAATCTTCATGTAACGCACTTTTGTCCGTTTCTGAGATTAAAAGAATGCTGAGCTTGTCTGAAGGCTTTCTTTAAAGAAAAATTAACAAGCGTATCAGTAATTAACCAAAATGAAAACGACAGGAAACCCAGTATGGCGCACTTCCGCTGTGGGCGTAACTTGATGACGGCACGTGTCAGTGAGCGTGTTTCGTCAGCCCAGTGACTGAGCCCATGAAAAAATTCAAAAGTGATATTTCCTCCAGTTGCTCTTTTTGTGATGACTCTGTTGAAACTGTTGTTCATCTCTTTTGGAACTGTCTATTTACAAATTAATTCTGGCAATATGTTTTAAGTTTCATTAGGAGTAACATTTATAATGAATGTATTCTGTTTTATTGAGTATGAACAATCTAAAAGGAAACAGTTGTATGTAGTGAATCTGATTTTACTTCTTGCAAAATTTCACATCCATAGATGCAAATATTCAAACTCCAGACCTCTCTTTCTTGTTTTTATAAAATAATTTGAGCAATACCTTTTATCGATCCAGCTGTCTCAGAACAAAAAAGCTTTAAAGGGGTCATATGATGCGATTTCAAGTTTTCCTTTCTCTTTGGAGTGTTACAAGCTCTTGGTGCATAAAGAAGATCTGTAAAGTTGCAAAGACTAAATTCTCAAAACCAAAGAGATATTCTTTATCAAAGTTAAGACTCTGCCACGCCCCCCTAAAACGGCTTGTTCTAACACATCCCCACATATCTACGTCGCTATGTGGAAATATTTGCATAATGCGGCCCAAATGTGCACGCAAAGAAAGAAGGCGTGGTTTCAGTAACCGCAGTTAGTGTTGAAGCAGCCATGTCAGGGAGAAGCTGTGTGTTTCTAGGCGAAAGCAAAAGCACTTTATTTGGCCTTCCGAAAGTAGATGCATTTAGGAATCTTTAAGATCACTTAGAACAGAACAGCAATGCATTTTATGGACGACCGTTTCGTGAACCTAGGAGAGGAGGTAATTCTGACTTTGCTATGACAATCTGGCGCTTCTGAATCAGCTACTGTTTTGTTATTAGTTTAAGTATTTGC